AAGTTTAGTCTATAAATTAAAACCATAAATTCTAATTAAACAAAATCCCTATTGTACTCTTCTTTAACCAAAATCAAATCTGATTGATTAAAAAATAATATATATATTTCTACCAACTATGATATTAATTATTATTATTTACAGTAAATGACTTAAAAAAAGCCTAATATTAAAGTTAACTTTTATAAATGTAATTAGAAAAATAATAGTTCAATATTATTCTTTTGAATATATTATTCGATTATTTTCTAAAAATTTCATTTATTTATTTTAAAATGAATTTCCATCAGATTGAAGTCTTATTAATTTAAATTAAGTTTCTAAAATAATAAAATTCAATAATGCTTTACGTAATTCCAAAATAAAATAATTAGTATTCATTCAGAAATGATCAACTTTTATTCTACTTAGAACTGCATTCATAACCAAGTAAGTGAGAAATGTTTTTATAGATCAACTATTTTAACATTAAATAATAAGGTTTTATTGTTGAATTCTAAATATGATCCTTATTAAAGAAAATGGAGAGAATTAAAATTTTCCATTCCCTATTATTAAAAGAAATTTTCCAAGTATAGTAAACTTGAACAAATTAATCAATAAACTTGAATATTTGATGTTTACACATTGAGCCTTAGGCAAATGAGCCTAATGCTGAATTAATTTCAAATAAAAATTTAACGACATCCTTACATTGATATTGGAATTTAAAATAAATGATGAATACCAATATTTTGAACAATAAATATTTAGCTCAATTATTTACTTTTTTGTGAATTAAAACTTACATCAAAATAAAATAGATTTAATTTTCTATGAGTTTTTAGGTTATTGCCGTAATATCAATTTGACTATTCCTCTTATTTTCTCGTCAAAAAATTTTATTAACATAGGCTAACAATATTAATATCCCTTAATATATTGCAGCTTTTATCCTTCTATTGATTAAATTCTTGCAACTAATCAGTATTTTGTCTTTATTAATCCATTCTCAACTTTTTCAGAAAGTAATCGAATTTTCAAAAAAGATTTTAATAATTAATTTTAATAAAGACTATTTCTTATATTGTATATCTGTAATTATGATCTCAAATATTATTAGATTTTTTAGCTGACTTAGAAATACTTTAACAATTTCCTATAATATCCCCATGACGATATTCTATAGAAAATAAACTGTCTCTACTAAAATAATCACATATAAAATTAAACAATGAGAAATCTTCTTTAAAATCTATCCATTATCCATGTTTCATTCCATCATCATCATACTCTCCACCTCCTCTATTGTAATTATATTATGAATTTTACATTAATTAAAATTCTTGATGTTTAAACTTTCTATGTATAATATTCCATTTTCCATACTTAATACCATTTTTATATTCCCCTTCGTAAATAATTTAACCGCGACTAAACTGTTGATTGATATATTAATACTGAGAAAAGAACTCGAATAGTTCTTTCCAAATTCCTACTTTTACACCATTTTAATCATAAGAACCACCACCGCTTTAAATGTATAAAATTAATTTTTACATTTATAAAAATTCATTTTCTTATTCTTAAAAATAAGCTAACCACAACCCTTTTTTAATCTCATTATCATATTCTCCATTAAATGTGATTTTGCCTCCCCTATCTTTAACCAATTATACTTACAAGAAAAAATTTCTAAATGGTTCAACCCACATTCCTTGTTTTAATCCAAATTTATTATAATAGCCCTCACCTCTAAGAAAAATATCTTAATTTTAACATTTTTGTTTATATTTCGTTCTCCTTCATAAATACAGTCCAAACCCCTTATTTTTTGCCAGCAACATAGTCACCTTCATAGAGATTATAGCAATAACTAATTTTTTAATTTCAATTTACTCTAAAAAATTTTCATTAACTTCTATCCATCTTCCATTTTTTTATCCCTTTCTATCATAAGGGCCACCACCACTAATGATAAGACTAGAATTTAAATTCTTACATAATTTCATTTTAATAGATAATATTCCAACTTCCAAATTTTCTTCCTTGATATTCTCCAGAATATGTAACCTAACACAGACTATAATAAATAATAATATTGACTCCTAAAAGTTTTCATGCAGAGTTATCCATTTTCCAAATTTAGAACCTTTATTATTATAAATACCACCGCCACTATATATTCAGAAATATTAACATAATAAGATCTTTATAATAGGTATCCCATTTGCCAATTTTTTGCCCACTTTAATATTAACCGATGTAAAGGATTTTACAATGGCTTGTATAAAAATTAGCTAATTACTCCGAATAATTCTCATGTAAATCAACCCATAAACCATTCTTACAACCCTTATCATTATAAACCCCGCATCCTCTAAAATTAAAGTAAAGAAATAACATTATGTGATCTTTCGATAATATATCCCAAAATCCTTCTTTTTATCCGTAATTATAGTTTCCTTCATAAAAAGTTAAAGATTATCTTTATAAATAATAATGCTAACCTATTAAAGTTTTCAAATAAATCGATCCACTTTCCTATTTTTATACCATCCTTTGTTTAAAATCCTCCTGATTCAAATGATTCACTTCTACTTAAGGCCATCCATTTTTCAAATTCTAAATAATTATCACTTCTTCTTGTCCATTCTAAACATCTTATTTAATCTAAACTCCTAATCACATTCTATGATTTTAATTCATTTGTTATTTTTTCTCTATGAATATTATCGTGTTTTAAAATACTTTTTCAATTTTACTCCATCCTTAATATGTATTATTTCTGCATCATTGGTATATTCAACTATAAAACGAGTTTTTTATAATTAATATTCAAGAAAATAAAGATTAAAATTTGTTTACATTCCTGTAGTCTTTATTTTTCCTACTTACCAATTTCTATTTTTATTTTTTCTTATTTTTTCACTATCATAATAATTCTTATAGTACTTTAATTAAGGAAGAACTTTTAATTACTCAAATATTTTTGTTTAAAAATCTCTTAAATGCTATTCTATAGGTTTTTAGATCTCTATTATTGGATTTATAAAAGATTCTTTATCAATATTCCATCTTTCTAATTTATTTTAATTAATTGATCTAATGATTAATTCCAAGTCAAGTTAGGAGATTTCTGTTGGCTTAAGATAAAAATTTAGTAATCTTGAATATATTTAATCTCCTCTATCTATTGAATTTAAAATCTCCTGAATTTATTTTAATGAATCTGATAAACACTTTTAGAATTGTTCTCCTAAAATCTCCAACTACTTCTTGAATTAATTAAATTTAAGTCTTAATTATAATGTTTTTTCTATTGTTGTATCTACTAAGTTTTTTTATTTTTTTAATATGTAATCCGGGAAATTTGAAATTGGAATCAATTATTCTTAAGAAACTTGTTCATTATGAGCACATTCATAACAAAGCTTTCTTTAACACTAGTGATTTGCAATGCAAACATTGAGGATTTTATTTTCTAAATGTTCTAAGCAATACATATTATTTTCAAACATATTTAATAAAATATTTATATATAAACCAAAGAATAAATATGTATATAAATAACTTGAATAATTATTTTGAATAAATTATAAATTCAAGTTAATCTTAAGCCTTCAAGTTATTTATCTTCCAAATTACTCAAAATAGTCACTTGGATTTACGTTTTTTACGGAAAACTAAAATAAAAGTTATTAGCAAAGTTAAGCTAATTTTCTAGGTTTAATAAATCAACTCAAAAAATAATTATATATTTTTATTCAATTCCTTTTCAATTCAAATAAATAAAACCTAGCATTTGGTACAGAAGATATTGTAAATTATGGAACTTTATTTATTAAGTATCTGTTAGATCCCAAAATGCAAATTTAAAACCAGCTATAAAACTCATGAAGGAAATCGAATTTCTGAATATAAGTTGGAGGATCCTCAAGAGTATTTATCTTTACAGAAAATCCTTATAAGAGTTTCATTTTCTATTAATAACAATTATTAAGAAAAAATAAATAAATTTTTCAGGATAATCATTTAAATTCTGAATGAAAATTAAAAATACATTGATATTTAAGTTTTTTGTTAAAATTAATATTTTTTGAAGGATAAATAATAATAAACAAAAGAAATTATTTTTAGACATATAAATCGCTTCATCAATTGTTTGAGTTTATGAAATTAATTCTTTTATTAAAAGAACTTTTCCTTTGAGTTCATTTTAAGTTGCCTCCTTACAAACATCTAAATAACCCTTAAAAATATCGTTTCAAAATTTGGTTAAATACTTTTATTTAATGTGACATTTCCCTTTGGTTTATAACATTGTTGAAATAAAATAAATTAATTGTTATTTAAAAGCTTTTTGCTAAATCATATTCCATAATGATCTCAAAAATTTCATAATCAAATCAAATTTTTTACATAATTAATTCATTTATTTAATGTGTTGATAACATTAATTTCTCCATTAAACAAGTAATTATATCATAATACTTATCATCTTGCATTTTCTTTGATGATTTCTGTAAAATATAATCCTTGATAGCTAATTTAAATTAGTTTACTCAAGTTTTTTTTTTTCTATCATACTTTTAATTTAATTTCCTTATTCTGTTGGAGTAATTTCATTAAGAAAATTGATCATTAACTAAAACTTAATATATCACGATAATTGATATTTGAAATCTAAATTTTATGGTGCAATCAAAATTCCTACTAAATAGAGCTTTGAATTTTTGATTAACTTTAATTCTTAGTTTAATTGCTTTCTTTTATTATTGAAAGCATTTATATTTAATATTTAGTCTAAGAAGGTTAAGATTTACTAAGAATTTCCTAAAACAAAAAAAAATCTGTTATAAAATGCAAACAATTATTATTTAATTTTTATCCTAATAATAATATAGTTTATAAAACGAGAATTAAGTATAAAATTTAATTCTAAATAATATCAACACTGATGGTAATATTTTAGATTGTAATCCTCTATGTTATAGAGTATTTGGATATTAATATCACCTCTGTAAAATTTAAATAAATTAATAATTGTAAGCTTTAGTAGTATGTAAAATGTTTGGAATGTCAAATTGAATATCAATTAGTTTTTCATAAAATCACTGCATTTAAAAGTGTTTAGATGGAATAATAATATCTAAAGAAATTTGTGATGATGGGAATAGAATTCAATTTGTTGTTTGTAATAATACTAAAAAAGTTTTTAATTAGAATGTTTATTTTTCTCCAATATTAAGTGCTATCTTTGTCAAGAAGGTTGGAATCTTCAAGAATATTATTGTACTTATATCTGTGGAGAAGGGCAATTAGCAATCTTATACAATGAATAATGTGATGATCTTGAAAATTCATGTCGTGCTAATTGTAAGTATCAATGTAATTCTGACTGTATGATTTGTTATAAATTCGATAATTGTGAGATTTGTTAATCTTCTTAATTATTACTCCTCTTTTTGAATAATTTGATGATGTAAAATATGAGGATTGTTATCGATATAAATATCAATTCTCTTTCGGATACATAAAATAAGAGAAGGATAGTCATTTTGTTAAATGTTAAAACTGATCTTTTTTTTTGGATACCCAGTCTTTTCAATATAAAACACAATAATCAAAAATTGAACTAAAACCAGAAGAGGATTAAATTATTTATTTATGGGGTAGTTATAATTTAGCATTTTTAACAATTAATCTAAGAATTTATGTAATAATGGAATGTTTGATAGAAGTTTTGAATATTTTGATGATAGAAATAAAAATGGGAGATGAATTTTCATCGCAATTTTTTGAAAGATCCTATAATTAATTAAGTTATTTTACTTTTATTTAACACCCAAAATTCATTTTTGTGTTAATCTCTGGATAAATAAAATTAAAACCAAATAATTGGCCTAAGCATTTGGGCTTTTTTTTGAACAAATTTTCGAATTTATTATCATTCCTATAGCTAATTGGGATTGCATTTTTTTTCCATTAAAAATGAAAATCCAATAAGATTCTATATTTAATTAATATGATTTGAACCTAAACACTAATTTTTAAAGAAATCCCTCTTGAAACTCATAAATCATCAATAACACTTAAGAAAGAGTAATATGAGTTATCAAAATGTACTTAGCAATAGTATATCCGACTGTGTGCATTCCTGGAATTTTTTTTTTACAGATGATTAGATAGTATTTTTCATCTAATTAGAATTATTATAGATTTTTTTAATATAAGATATAAGCAATAAAATTTCCTCCTCATTTTAGGTATTTATTTGAAACTTATACAAAAATTAGTTTATAATCTATTTTTAGATGAATTTATGCAAAACTCAATGGAGGTACTCTGTCAAACTCACATTCGAAATAATCACGATCAATTTAAACTAATTTTTATTTATTCCTTAGAATTAAATAATGAATAATATTTGCTCTATGGATATTTACTAATAAATTTATTTTATTTTCTAATAGGTTCTACCATAATTATTGACATTCTAGAGTCAGGATAAAGAGCCTATTATATAAATTTATAGAAATATACAATTTAAACATGAAAAAACGAAATGAATATTTACATAATAATTATATAAAATCTATTTAATAATTTTGTAAATTTAAATGATATATGGGGATTTATGGAAATTTCAAAGTTCATCCTGTACTTTAGATTTGATCTATAATATTAATTCAATTTTTTTATAAATCCATATGTAATAAAAAATGATTTGATAAAAATTGTAATATCATCAATTAATTCATTTCAAACCAAATACTATTATAAATTACTTTATATAATATTAATATTTATATCAAAGACTATAATTTAAACAGAAGTTCTTCAAATATATTTTTTTTTATATAATTTATCAACTCTTTTTGATTATTTATAATATTTATCTCAATAGTTTTGTTTTAATTCCAAAATATGAATCTAAGATGATGAAATGTCAGATATGATTAAATATTTGCCATCTGAACTCATAATTTGAATATTTAAATTTGAAGTTGACATAAGATCTTAATAATTTAATATCTATTCTACAACCATTTTCCCTTAATCAATATTCTAGAATTTAATGATATAAAGATTAGAAGCACAAATAACTAATAGAAACTGCTTATTCTTATTATTTTGGAATTCGACTTATTTGATAAGTTATACACAATCATTAATTAATAGAGTTTCTGGATATGAAAATAAAGTTGTGTCATCTTTAAAGCTGAATATCTATAGATTTTATGCAAAATCAGAGATTAGTCCCGATTTATTTTAGGAAACCATCAAAATATTATTACTTAAAATTTAGATTTAATTGATTTGTTATTTTAGTTCAATGAGCTATTTTACCTTCCATAAATTATTTTTATTTTCCATCACTATCATTTATTTTATATTCCCTAAAGCAACAAGTTTATTTCCATCTTGCAAAATTTATAATTATATAATTTATCTTAATGGAACATTTAGAGTCTATTAGCATGGATTTTTTGTTGCTGAGATAGACCATATATTAATTTTTTTATTGGAACTGCCAGAAAAAATAATATTTTCATCGGTTGGATGAAATGCTATTGATAAAATTTGATCATCACTTCCTTCCAATTTTTTTATGTATTTCTAACTTCCAATTAGATTTGTTGACCAAAGTATTAATGAATTGAATGAAGTAGAAATAAAGTAAGATTTTTTGTTTAAAAATAGTAGTACATTCGAAATTATACTTTAAGGTTGAAGTAGCAACTATAATTTATTTATTAATCCATTTTTAAAAACAAATACAGCTATTACAAAAAGGTAATCTAATAATAAAAGAGAACCTTCTTTATTAATATCCATTCCTTAACAAATTTGTTCAACTTTAACTAGGTTTTTCAAATTTAATTAAAAATAATTGCTATTGACTCTTTCATTTTATTATTATTCCATTTATATAATAATAATAATTAATTTATAAATTACAGAATATATATTTAATATATTAAGGGCATATGCTCTAAAATTATGAACAATGAATATATTTTTTACATGAAAGGTTCACCAATATTCTTTGACCATTTTTCACTTTTAATAGTTGCATATTGTGACTTTGATCATTTTATTTTACCTACATTAGGATTTCATACATTCTTTATCATAAAATTATAATTAATTGAGTTTAGATTTAAATGTATTACATAATTAACAAAATAATAATAATATTATATTTAGATTAATCCTTATTATTTTTAGTTTAAATATAAAAATAATAGCTTTTGGAATTTTTGTTTTCTAATTCTTAGAAAACTGTATTAGTAATAGTAATTACTAATAATTGATCAAATTTTTATCCATAAGCAATTAAAGGAGATTTTGAGATGAGCAATAAAGAAGAAAAATATTTTACTGAAAAGTATATTCACTACAAATCGACAAGGGAGTAATCTTTTGATGAAAAACATATTACTCAGTATATTTATTAAATTTATTAAGGAGATTGAGTAGATGCAAATAATTTAGAATTCCTCAAAAGAAATTAGGTTTAGAAGGAAATATGCTTAAATTTATCATTTTATTGAGAAGGACTGAGATCAATTTACCCTTAATTTTCATAAAATTTATTGAATATGCCAAGAATTTTATATAAACATAAATAAATTTGAAAATATATACAAAGAATTCAATCATATGTATGCCTTATAGGCTAGAATGGATATTATTTAAATTTATTATACAGCATTACATCTAGAATTTATTTAAGTAAAAAATTGGACCATTCATATTATTTTTCAGGATAAGACTAATTAGTATTATTCTAAAAAAAATTACGATGGTATTTTATAGATTTTAAGATAAAAAATGAAGTATTCTGCAATTCTAATAGGATAACAAATATTAGATGTGAATTTTTATATAATTTTCTATTAGTTTAAATAAAATGAAGGGCGATTTAAAGTAAGCCGTAAATGAATAAAACAAAAATATTTAATTTGATAGTAAAAGTAAATTTTTGGTATTATTTAGACATTAAAAATTTAATTATATCAATTGCAAAAATTTTCAATGATAATGGGAAATTCTCTGTTGAGTCTCATTTAAACTCTTATCCTACACCTTCATTTAAGTAATCTTGTTCAGGAAATCCATTTTGAGCAGGAAATGAAGGAAAATAATTATATTCATTGTTTATAGGCTTTGATGTCAACTGTAGGTGATTCTTCCAAATGCTGGTGAAAGTGACTGATAAGGAAAGAAATTAGAGTAAATTGGGACCTAAGAAAAGTAAAGAGAGTGGATTCTGGCCTATAGCTTAAACTATTTATTTGTAAGTCAATGGTAGTGAGGTGTAAGTCAATGGTAGTGAGGGCTTGACTAGTGGACCAAATAGTTTTATTTTCACCAGTTTGCCCATTTGAAGGATTTTGAAAAATTTTTGGATGTTTTTTGGAAAAATTCAGTCTTTTTACTTTTTACATTAGAATTCTTGAAGAATGTTCTATAACAGAATAATCAGTCTTAATAGTAAGTCATTTCTACAGGAGCTAGAACACTATTGATTCTTCTAATTAAATTAAATGAAATAATATATCAATACGAAAAAGGTTAAGGTAGACTGTGAAAATTATTAACTGAATTTTTCAAATATTTATAACATTCTAATCATTTTCAATAACTAAAAATTTTAATTTTGACAAATTATTATAGGTTTTTATTAGATCCCTAAAATCCTAAATCTGTAAAAAATCTAGTATAAAAGACAGTCACAAGGAAAAAAAAAGGAGTCTTCAGTTAGCCAATCTTGTGGAACCAATTCCGAGAACTCACCCTGAATAAATATTTAACACTCTTAAGTATATAGTCTAATTGATTTCATTTTCTTGATTTGACAAAATAAAATAAGTGAAAGTTTTCTGAAGGGTTGTGAATAATATATATTATTTCATTAGAAAATTAAAACTATCACTATATAATTTTTATCTTATAAACTAATTTTAGGGGTTAGATATTAAATATAATCCAAATGAATAAGCAAATATTGCCAACAATAATTGTTCTACTAAAAGAATTAATTGCAAAGAAGTATACTTAAATAAACTAATTTGAAAATCAAATATAATAATGAAATGTATATTTTTGTTCAAAAACTAATATATACTCAATACCAATTCGAATTAATATCAAATTAATTTAATTATTAAAATCCATGTAAAAACCAAAAATGATAGAAAATGAAAAAGATTTTTGTTGCTCTAAAGGACATTAGCTACCAGTTGTTACAATAATACTTGATCCAAAATTATCAAGGGATTAGAGACTCTTGTGCACGTAATGTTTGGAATATACAGACATAGAAAGTAAAGCGGTTGGATTGAAGGAAATTATTTCATTAATTGAAGAAAATTAAGTAAAGAAGATGGAATAAGTGAAAACTATGATAATGAATTAATTAAAATTAATTGAACAATTGCATAGTATTGTTGATCAAATGAAATCCCATGTAATTTAATAATTAAACTAATTGATTACTATAATGATAGGATGGAATCAGAATTTATAATAACAACGATCATAATGTTCTCAGTATAGTTTTTTTGAGGAATTAGAAATTATGTTTTTTAAATCAAATTAAACTGATTCAAATTTATATATCCATGAAATTTAGAAAACCAATCTTAGTTGGATTCAAAATTGAATCTTAAATTAGAATAATTTAATTAATTTAATGAATATAGTACATGTAAGTAACTGTTGACAAGTTTAGAATTAGTTTCTTAAAAGTTTACTCAAAGTGATTAATTATAATCATTCAATATTTAACAAAAGGATTAAATAATAAAATCAATGAATACTATAATGAATTAAAAAAAATTGCAAATTAATTAATCTAGTCGTCAATCGAATATCATCAAATATTAATTAATCCCAGAATGCACTATTTCATAAAGAGAGTTATGTTTGGCAATTGCTATTGATAAAGATTGTTCAAAGTTGGTGGCTGGATGTAAGTCACTAATCAAAGTATTTGAATTTAACTAAGGGATGATAAAACAAATTTAAACTTTAAATTAACATAAAGATTTTGTAAAAACTTTAAACTTCATGCAGAAATCTAAATAGTTTATATCTGGAAGTTTTGATAAATCTATTATAATATGGAAATATAATTAAAATAGTTAATGGAGTTGTTAATAAATTTTAAATGAACATAATGATTCTATCTATTGTTTAGTAATAAATACTAATGAAGATTTGATAATATCAGGAAGTAGAGATAATACTATTAAATTTTGGATAAATAAGAATTAGTGGTTCCATTAATAAACAATAAAGGATCATTGTTAATCTGTATATACATTAAGTTTGAATTAATAATAAAATAGAGTTGTATCATGTGGATATGATTAATATATTTTAATAATAGAATAATCAGAATAGAATAAAGAATGGAAACTAATATAAAAGATTACAATTGAATAGTTTGGATATCGAGTATGCTTTATTGATAATAATATGTTCGCATTTTCACAGAATAATTAAGAATAAATATCTATTTTTGAGATGAATAATAACAATAAATAATTTATTAAGACTAAAGATATTCCTATAAAAAGTGGATTACATTTCTACTCATCTTTTCCGTAACAATATATAAATTCAAAATGTATTCTTGTAAGTAAGAACGGAGAATATGTCAATTTGATAAGAAAAATATAAAATGGAGAGTTTCTGACTGAATAATCTATTCATTTTGGAATTAGTTCTTTATTTGGAACAATGAGTAATGATGGAGAGTATTTGGTCACTTGGGATAAAAAATCAATGTAAATACAAATTAGGAGATATTAAGAATAATGAGAATTTTTTGATTCTACATAAAGAATAGTATAGTGTAAATTTGTTAACTATCTGTTGATCATTTTTACTCATTTCATATATATAAAGCTTAAATTTTCCATTTAGTAAATTTTCTTTATTAATATCCTTCTTTCTATGAGAATTAGTTTCCTAATTCAATTGGAACCATTGAAAATAATATAATATAAATATATTTAATTGTAAATAACTCAAAGTTTATAAGGATTTTTAATTTATGAGCGATAATTTGTAACATATTTAGATTTAAATAGTTTCAAAATTCTACTTTTGGTTTTAAATAAATCTAAACAAATTTTTTTGTTTTATATTATTTATTCATATTCTTTTTATCTAATTTATAGATTTTTGAATAATAATAAAAGTTTCTTCTAATAGTAATTAGTTTCTTTTCAATACAAAAGATTATATCAAAATAATATTTTGTGAATATTTAATTATTGGAGTTAAAGAATCACATTTCTAATAGACTTTTATAATTCGAATTAAACATTATTGTTATAATGATTTAATATTAAATAAAACAAACAAGAATAATATTAAATTATAATTAAAAGTATGAGGTAAATTTAATTTAAATAAAATAGAATTGTTTGTAATTAATCAATTATGGATAAACTTATATAGAAATAGATTAAGGATATAATATACTTTTCTAATTTAAATTGATTGAGTAAATTAATTGAGTAAATTAATTGAGTTTTGTTGGTTTATTATAATATTTAATATTGATCCTTTGATTCTTCAAAATAAATGGCATTCATTATGATACCAGTTATTTATAATTAAATAAAATTGATATCTTCTAATAAATAAAAGCCTCGTTAAATTCATTTTTTATCTTTATTTATTTCCTGTTCTCTTTATATCTGCAGTAATAAATTTTTTTTTTAATTTTTCGATAAGATCCTATAATACATTAGAATTGTCTTCATTTGATTTAGAGCATTTGAATAAGATTGTTTTCTGTTTGTAACAAAAAAAGATAAGAATTTTATTTTTATCAAGATTATGAAAATTGTTGTTATATTAGAAAAAAGATTGATAAGTTCAAAATACTTAATTTTTCATATTAATCGTTAAAAATATTTATTTTACTACTTAGCATTAAATTTTGCGTTATTTAATACAAAAATTAGATTTATTTAGACTACAAGGTTAAATTCTTTTTGAATTGAAAAGGTTCATTCAAAAAGATTAAGGAATTAGTTATAATCGCCAAATTATTAATTCGGCCATAAAAAATATCTGGAATATATATTTTAAATTTTTCATTCTTATGAGTTTCAGACTTAAATAATTCTAAGGAGGATGTATCTTATAGCATTGTTTTAAAGCTAAAATATCAGTTAAATACTTTTCTCTTAATAATTTTATGGATATTAGCCTGTTTAATAGTGTAATGATGACTTAATTTTTAAAATTATTGCTTATTTCTATTTCTACTAAAATTGATTCAAAAGTAAAATCTCCATTCTTTATTCCAAGAATACAATAGATCAGTTAAGTAAAATTTAAAAAAGGAATCATCAGTTGCAATAATTTCTTACAATTTCAATGAGGATATATTATATTAAAAATAATTATATATAGCTCCTAATTTAACTTAATAGCAAAATGATAAAGGTTTATTTTGCATACTTATTAGATTCTCAATAATTCTATGCTTAAATGGATAACAAATAGATAATCAGAAAAACAGTAATTCAAAATTTAAAGTAAAGCTTTATTAAAAAATAAAGCAATAATTCATGATCATTGCAATAATTTAGGATTAGTGATTTTTTGAGATTTTGTAAAGTTAAACTATTAAACTCCACAATATTTCTATTATTGAATAATCTTTATTTGTGATGTTTTAGATTTAAATCAAAATAATTAATCCCACTTAAAATTTATAGCATCTAATATTTTCTTAATTCAAAATAGCTATAATATTTATCTACTACTTAAAATTGAATTTCCCATTTCTTAATAAAATAGAATAAAATAGTTTCTGATATTTGAAAGATACTTCCTGTCTAAATTTAAATTAAAAAATTTAATTTATTAAAGGAGGTAAATCTGAATTGTTTATGTAAAGATAAACACTTTATGAATATTTTTAAGGTCTTTTAATTGTTTCTTCATACTTTATTTTTAATTAGAATAATTACTAATCTACAAATATACTACTCTCAAGTGATTAGTATTGTTTTTGTTTACTATATAATAATCCACATAAGATTCAAGTATAGTAATTGAAATTAGAATAACAATTTGCCCACAATGGTGAATATAATTATAAGAATCAGTTTGAAAACTTATATAGTAAGGAGTATTTATTTATCTCAACTCAATCTTGTATTTAAAATAAAATGATTAAAGCTTTGATAAACAAGAGTCCAAAAATTGAAATTATTTTTTTATATAATCAAATTATTGATAGTGAATGCACTTACTCTTATGCTATATTTACGATTATATAAATTGAATAAACTATTTATAAAAAAAAAGATTAGACTTCTGACTTTCAGATTTATTATTAGATTTTACTTTAGTAATTATTTTATAATGTTATCTACTAAACTAATTTTGATTTTCCTTTTTATATTTTATTTTATAGACTATTCTTAAACACATGAGTAAAGAATTGTGTTAAAACATTTTTTGTGAATTATATAGAGATACTTTTATTTAAGTGTAATAAAACTATTAAATGGATAATATAAAAAAAATAAAAAGCCTTTGATCAACTTAATAGAATAATTTACAGTAAATTAAATTAATTAATGGCTGTCTTCTAATGAATTAATAATAATCATGATTTAGAGTCGCTTTTATACTATAATATTAATTTTTGTTGAAATAAAATAATTCTTCTTAAAAAAGGATTAAAATAAAAGGTCTTGTAATTTAAGAATCAAAGAGTTTGAGTTTAAATAATCTTCTTCATATCCTTCTAAACCTAATAAAATCAAATAAATTTCCATATTGTATAAATAATTATCAAAATTATAGTTTTTACTCATTTGATTAGATGAAATTGATAATCCTAACAAAACATTGATTTTGAAAATATTGGGAATTTTAAATAATGACCTTTTCAATATAATACGAAAATTCTTTTGAAAATAAGTTGTGCTTAAGAAGAAACTTTTTGATTAATTAATTACAAAATAGTGTTTTTATGATTTGAATAATAAAATTGATAATAAAGATAATTGGGAAAAAATAGAATTTTAACTAAGTTAATTATATCAATTAAAAAGATTAGTAGTCTTATATATGTGGCATATGAATGGAAATTGGTAAAATATGAATAATCTGTCTTTATTTAAATTTACTTTAATCATCTTAATTAATTTTTTTTTTTATGTAGCTAATCCAAAAGCTATAGAAATATGATCTCTTATCTAACTGGACATGCTAAAAATATCTTCTTTTTTGAACAACTTAATAATCACTATTACTATTATATGCTGAATATATTATTAATATAAGAGGATTCTTTTGTTTACATTTGGGTTAATTTTCCAAATATACTTCATTGTTATTTATATTCCAAATATGTTTTCGAAGTTACCCCCCAATTAATCGATTTCGATTAAAAGTTGAAATTTATGAAATACTGTCCATTTTTGAAGACTAAGAGAAGTTTGGAGACTATGTAGACAAAGGGGCAAATTACTAGCAGCATTACCCATATTTAGACCCTTTTTTAAACAAAAACCAAGAACATCTTAATATTTATGGACATTTGGTCTGATTCCACTCTTCAAAAAAAAACTAGTTATGTTGCAGAGCAAGTTTAATTCCTCAAAATAAAGTATTTCCTTCTATTCCTAGATAAATTCAATTTTGCCCAATTACTATTCTAAGCTCTT